AATGTAGCTGTGCTTGTGCCAAATAGGTCCATTCTATGGGTGGAAGTGGCATCGTTGAGTAAGTTACTCTTTTCGAATTTTATAAAAACACTATAGCTAGTCGTATGGAACGATATGAGCCAGAAACATTCTTTCAAAGAATTGATATAAATGTTCAAATTATACCCTTTTATTCTAGTCCTCCACTTAAAAAACCACCAATACAGGTAAATAACTTGTTACTAACCGAGGTCTGTCAACTTTATGGAGAGCAAGTCAATGGATGAACAATTGTTGATTCCATACTCCGCTTGGAAAATATATGAACAAGCACTGGCTTCATTGTAATCCCATTGCAGCGAGTAGTATAGTTTCAGCCTGTTATCTGGATCTGAATGTATGGTGACTTTGTTTAAATATGGCCTATTCTCGAGTTTGTCTGGATATAAATATAAAAATAGAAACAATTATACATTATAAGCATATTTTATTAAATATGGAATAAATGAAGCCTAATAAATTATCTTGCATATTCATATTACTTAGGTTCCATTTGACTATTTAACATTTATATTGGCATTGCCGACAATAAAGAAACTATGAGCTGTTTTCATCCCATTTCGTTTAAGGTGATGAAGGTTTGGTAGTTGAATTTTCCCACAAGCGCATATGAATTGTATTTCACATAACCTTGCTTTTGCAAAAGTTATTGTCATCCAGGGCGGACCGCAGTTGCATCCTCGCAAAAACCCCAGCTGGACTCGAGCCATGACAGTTCAGCATGTAACCTCGACACTTTAACCACTCGACCGCATTGCCACACGTGGTCATGGGTCACTGGGCGGATGTGCATTTTCCAATATCACATTCTTTGGTGCTAGCTGAATTATTCACCTGATTACATCTCAGATAACTGATTTTCTGGTTGTCTCGAAGCCATGTCAGTATAGAACATTCTAAGGAGGATGGGTAAATGCATTTATTATTTTGCCATCATTCCTAGAGTTTTCATAATAAAACTACAACTAATGATATAAGTTAATTCTGTAGGAGCATGGACTATGCCATTGCTCTTCCTCTAGTCTGCTGTTTTGCCGATTATCTGTGGAAGACAATGCTTCTTGACTATCATATAGCTTAACTTTGTGAAATATTATTGATTAAATAAATCGCTTTGTAAGCAGAATATATTCGTAAACTATCAAGTTGCTTGCAAATTATATATCCAAAATGTGTTTTGCTAACATTATCTCCTGGTTTGGGTATTTGCCTTTGTTAATAATTTGATTAAATCTTCAGCCACAAATCATCACTTGGTTTTATCAACACCCCAGCCAACATGATAAAGAGTCTAGTAGTTAAAGTAATATGAGATGGAAAGTATGTAACCAATTTATGCATTAATGAAAGCATAGTGCATAGTGGTAAATGTCTATAGACAACTCAACTGGGATGTCCAAATTGGTAGGAAGTTATAGCATTTTGGCAGACTGTCTTGGTCTCAATATCCATTCGACTCTACAATAGCAACAGCAATAAGTTTTGAAAATGTCAAACAATATAATGATGAGTTTATCTGAATTATCCGAGCATACAGGACATATTTTCTATCTACATTTTTTTCTACATTTAATCTGCGAACTAAAGTAACCAGCATACTTCACGATTCAGCCATTGCTTTGATTCAAGATGTTAAGCAATCTCAAAGTTTAATTAATAGAGTTGGGGTCCTTCTTTCTTATGATTGAAAAGCAATTGTATAAGGATAATAAGGAATGGAATGGAGATGCGATAGGGCATATTGGGCTTTTCTTTCTTCAGGACACCTTTTGTTGCGGCGTTATATAATATTCTTTATTTATCCTTAATTACTAGCCTGAATCCACCATCTGGAGGGATTAATGATGCTTTTCCTGAACTGAAATTTTATCTGATGAAAAGAAGCATGGAAATCACACTTTCTAAATAAGCTAAGTGTTTCGTTCTTTCGTGAAGCCCTTTGAAACACAAAATAGCCGGGTTTCGCAAAATAATATGCTTTGGGAAATAGCACAGACATTTTGTATTTTACAGCATCTTCACCAGTGCATATACCATCGCAGCCTCATTCAGGTTTTCAACCTGGCTTCAAATGGTTTTCAGATTGTTGTTGTTGAATTGGCAAAAGTAAAAAATAAAAGCCATCTGACTAATTGTATAAAATTCACCATGAGAAGTAGATTTTGGGAATATTTTATTTAAGCTAACTACTATATCTATTTAGTCTATCCAAAAAAGTACAAGGTTAATGAAGTTCATTTCGTATGAAAGGATAATCATCTAATCAAAGGTATGAAGACCAGGCTTATGTGACCTTTTGTATGGTTGCTGTCTCCTTTCGTTTAATAAAAGTCATTTAACCTTGGTTTCGCAAATTGTTCATATGGGCAGGAAGAGCCATAGGAATTCACCTTGTCCGGAGTCCATAGTATGCATGAATGTACTAACAGCAGAAAATCACGTTATATGAATAACAGGATCACTTTCTTATTCCTGAAACTCATATTGCAATGAAACATGAGAGTTGTGCTAAAATATTTTTATGCACAATTGCTTGCCCAAATAGTTCCATTGAAAGATTGTCAGATACTTGCACAAATTTATAAACATTATATTGGTTATTTGAGTGTTAATCTTGTTCCATAGTCACCAAGCCACTTAGATGCAACACTTATATTAAACACCATCTTTGACGTATGTAATATTTGTTTAATTAATTAATATGCATAAAAGCGGAAACAATGCCTGGATAACAGTCGCAACTTAACCGATTTTGTAAAACTAGTAATCGTTTTACATCTATTATCAAATTGCCTCCAATTCGACTATCTGCAATTTTGACAAGATATTTTATACTTATGTCAACACCTCGTAATTTCATGAAATTTATAACACGATAGTCATTAATTTGTCTTAATCGCGCGATACACTCTTATTTTTACTCACTTGTCTTTATAGAAACATGCCAAAAATCTGAATTTTCTTGCATGATTCTCAAGTTTGCGTTTAGTTGAATATGGTTTTTGTAGTGGAAAGTCTTATTTGCTGAATTTTGTCATTTCTTATTACAAATAATGAATTAGCACTATAAAAGCTAGATATTCTGAGTATAATGGGCCTTCATAGAACCCTTTATAGTGTTAGAAAGAGAAAACATCTTAACTATGGGACAAAAACGCAAATGCCTTCATTAATATATCACATAGTTGATCTCGTAGACGGCGATTGCTATCTCAATTCTTGGTACCTAAAGTGGGCAATAAAGTCAATACTCGTGGCTAACTTAAAAGCTAATCTTATCCGTCTACTAGAAGGAGTAATATTATGTATATAGTAACTATAAAAAGGCATATACACTCAATTGACATTTATTGCTGCAATTAATTAAGCAAAGAATTATGGATTTTGGTTTACTACGCCTACAAGATATCATATTCACATTTACCATAAACACAGCTTATTTAATGTAAAAAGAGTATTAGTGATAATTTTCACCTGGATACTTGGTCTCGAAGCAGAGCATGTCACTCCAATCGGTTGCGCCCCCTTTGTTCGCCAATTTGACGACAAACAGGTAAACTTGACAAGGCATCAAAGAACTGATTTCGCCTTCAATGGGAATCGTTTTGGAAATGAAATTCTTTTGGGACAACAATCTTGTGTCTAGTTGTTGTCGAGATGTTCTATTCAACACTAGGTTTTCCTCCAAATCCTCCAACTTTACCTTGGTCTGGCTACCACATTTGGGCTGCCTAGGCGATTCAATGATCAGACTGGTGATAATTGTTGCTGGGAGGCCACATGCAGCTGATACTATTACTGACAGACTGAAAGCTGCTTCGTGTACCAAGACATTGTCGACTTCTGGCGATTTGGTGATACAAGGTGCTGATTAAGGCAAATATTACAAAATATGCATAGTCAACTTTATACATTAAGATATATTTGAGTGACAACATGATTCAAAATGGATTCCAAATAACAATATGTATCTGCTTTCTGTTCTATCTCACCTAGCAAATAGAAGGACATCCTACGTTGGCAATAATTTCGTAGAGCTTAATACGAGACATTCTCTTGCTTAAATTTTCATTAAATTCTTTCTTAAAAAATCAAGAAGATGGATCAGTAGCACACTTGGTTACCGGGGCCGATATTCAAGCGAAATAGCATTTTCATGCTAGAATTCAGGTGATATTATGATCGATTTGCACCAAAAATTTTGTGAATGTTTTTGCATATTATCATGATTTTTTTCATTTTCCTGCTCTAATTGCAAAAGTTTATTCAACAAATTTCTGTGATTTTTCATCGTAAGAAGAGAATGAGTAATTTTGCATCCTATCAATTGTGATATTCGATCTCCAGGCTTAAATAGGCTTGAATCAGGTAAAATTCAAGAAGCCAAAGGCAAGATTAGGAAGCAAAAATATGCCTAAAGAGTCTTAATTGAGTTGACAGGACAGCAGAAATTCGGCGTAAAGGTACGTGCATAAAGGCTAATTTAAA